CTGGAGAGAATCAGGAGGCGATCACTAACAATCACTCACGTCGGGAATCGATGCCGGGTTGTTTTTCAACATCGCAACATTCGGTTTCCTTGGCATAGCCGCTGTCGATTGCCTTCGTTCGTACCTGATGACTGGAGGCGGCGGACGTTGTACCTTTAGAAAGAAAAGGTGTCAGCGGTTAACGAGCACAATTAGAACCTTCGGCAAAGGAACAACTGCATCGAAATCAGGTCGATCGGCAGGAATTGTGGATTTTGGCGGCGGTACGTAAGGTGCCATCTTTTCTTTCTGCAGTAGCTTTTCGGCATAGTCTCGGGCCTTCTGACTTGACGTTTTCCCAAAAAGCTTGAATGTGAGTGACTCTGTCGCTTTTGGCTTTTGCCTTGAGAATGCGCCTTCGGGGGACTTCTGTGACGACGGCGGCGCGTCCGGATTGGAGGAAGGTAGCCTCAACATGGAGTCTTTTGTCCAGCCAAATTTGCTTTTGCCCCCACACCCACAAAAATAAGTTTGCTTCTTTGACTTCTTAAACAACCCGTCCCATGGGATGTCAGAGGTTTTGATCCCGTCAGCGATGGCAATGTCGGCGATCGGCGAAGTTCTTTTGTTCTTGTTTGCCAACTAGTTTATTTCGTTTTCACAGTGGCTTGGCGCATTTACGATGCTCAACGGCCTGCACGCACGAGATTAAGAGACTGATGAGGAGCTTCACACTGACCTTCGTCTTAGGACAGACCATCTCCTCCCATGATATCGGAACCATCGTGTGCCCTGGGGTGAATGAATTTGACTCTTGCTCGATAAAAAATGTCGCACCTGCCACGCTTGTCGCTAAAATCACTCCGAGCTCGTTTTTTGCTGTAGACAAATAATACGAACGCGAATCGCCCAAAGAAATAACCTCCGCTCTGTGTCATAGGAGAGAATTAAAAACGAAAGGCTATGACGATTGCGCTTGCCTGACAATATCCCCCGGTCGGAAACTATTGTAAATGGTGACTTTGTCTTTTTCTGTTGCCCGGACGTCCTGTACTCTGATAATTCCTTGGAAGCTGTCCGAGCAAGGTTTGTCTCCCACAATCATGATCATGAGAACCGCCATTCGCGGATTGACTCTGATAACCTTTCCCGTTACGACAGATCCTATCTCTGGAACGGATGCTTTCAGGTTCTTCTTCGTACGAGAAACCACACGGATGATGTCAGGTTCTGAATCTTGCAGGCTTCTCGTTCTCTGCACTTCTCCAACAATCGCGGCAAGGATGTGGTCGCCAACGACGACAGTGCCCTGCGAAGCTGCAGTCGGAACGAAATCATTCACGACGCTGATTTTGGGATTCCTCACCGACGTACTCGCCGACGAGCCCCAGACGAGCTCCTGGCACGACCAACATTTCTGCAAAGTAAAAAGAACCGAAAAAATGCGCCCGGTTCTTTCACTTACAGAAGGCTGCCGCAGGATTCAGTCAAATCAGTTAACCTGTTGGTGAATTTTAGATGACAGCGATAGCAAAAGCTTCAAAGTGAAAGTGACAGACTGGATCGAAAATAACCAGATTGGGAATTCCTCCAATCTACATTCCGCACACCCCCAGTGGCATAACTTCTTCGCGGGGGCATAACTTCTTTCAGTGTCCCAATCAACGCATTTATTATCACAATTCAGATGTTTGTTTTCTGATGACAATCCCAGTCCGCCAGTTTATGGTACCCTTACTTAGGCCACAGAAGACTAACTTCTTGGCTTCGGTAATGAGTTCACCAACTATTCTGCAGCTTGATCGTTCCGTAGAGTAGCTATCAATCGGCATTACCGGTTGGAATAGCCCTGTATAAGGCGGAAAACATACGAGGCAGCTGAATGATTTATTCAGATATTTTTGGGCTGAAATATGAAAATCCCAAATACGATAGAATCGATAAAATATCAAAAAATTTCAGCTTCCCCTGTCTCTGTTCAATGGACCAACGTATGCCAACGCCGGCCCAACAGTCTTTGAGTCAAAAAATAAAAGGAAACAAGGCAGCTTACCAGGTATCTTTGGATTGATCTGACAGCTTTGCTAAACTCTTGATTCACAGGGCACCCTGAATGCAAACCCTCGGACCAACACTGTCCGGCAATCCATTCACACCGTGAGAGACAGCTTTGGCAGAAAATGGGTGGACTGGTCTGTGAAATCAAGCGGTGAATCTGGCCAGCCTGGCGACAAAGGCCAGCACGGAAACGATATAGTGCGAGTATTGAAAAACGATCATTTGGAAAACTATGTCCTCACCTCCAAGCGCCCTCAAAACTACGTACGAGACTCTGATCCTTCGACACGTTTTTTGGACTACCCAAAACTCGAAACTTTGTTCGGGTTAAAGCGAGAAGTTGTCCACCAGAGTGCAACTCCGTCGAGGAGCGTCAAAATCGATCTGTGGAAGTACGATCTGAAAAATCTGGGGTCTCAATTCGATGGTTGGTGGATTGTACGTGTGGTCTTTTTTTTTGAAGAATGATGCAGTGATACTCATTGATCCGCCACTTATTGAGTATGCTGCTCGCTCATTAGAATACTTTGAGAAAGCTTGCAAAGAAAATCCCACTAGCTTCGAACACAATTTGAAATTGCTTTGGAGCTGGGATGATGTTGCAGAAATGAATATCCAGGATATTGCTGCTCCTCGCTCATTTATTTTCATTTGGACAGGTACCGTGATATTTGCTGTGTGAATTCACCTTTATTTTTTGGCAGGCGATGGAGAGGGGCTTGAGCGTGGTCGCGACTTGCTTGCTCGATGGGGATACAGACGGGCAGAAGATATTGTGTGGGCGAAAACTAACAAAACATGGATTGTGAGTTTCTAGAGACGCCTGGAATTCTTCGCTCATATCGATTTTTTTAGGGCTCTAATTACATGGGACCAACTCCGGTTCTTCAAAGACACAAAGTTAAGAGCTCTGACTGTTTTCCTTTTCTTGTTTTAAACTTTGCACCACTCAGGAGCATTGCTTGGTGGGAATACGCGGAACGATCCGCCGATCGACCGACACACATTTCATCCACTGCAATGTCGACACTGATGTGATTATTAGCGAAGAGCCTGAGCATGGAGACACAGAAAAACCGGAGGAGCTATACTCGATCATTGAAAATTTTTGCTTGGGTAAGCGCAGGTTAGAGCTCTTTGGCCGAGACAACAACTTGCGGGAAGGGTGGGTTACAGTCGGCGCAGAGCTATCTATTTCAAATTATGATGCCAACGAATACGTATCATGGTTTCGGAATTCATCGATCGTGCCATTTCACCAAGGTAGCTCCGATTTCGCAGAGTTTTTTGATGTTAAAAACCAGAAATTGACAATCTTCGTCCGAAATCACCATCTTTACGCCCTAATCGCCGCTTTTAAGAAGACAGACAGACAGTGTATCTGCTTCACTTTGCTTACGATAAATGATGATGGTATGATTCAAACAAAGTACACCCAATAAAGAGATTTGAGTACCATTTCGCCCCTCAGCGAACGAAATCTTTGACACTTTCTTCTAAACTGTGAAAAATGCCACATATGATTGTTATTGATTCAGCGATATTCCCGAAAGCTGCTGGGTTTACATAAGCCATAATGGAAATCATATTCCAGTTTATTAGAAAGCATTAAACTGCATCAATCATCCTCTCGCTTCCTTTTTGCAGAAATTTTGATCTCATTGCTTGGATTACTGGGAATATTGGCTGGCGGGTTCGGATTTGCATCTGGGGAAACTTTTACATGTGTGGAAGCCTTTTTGGCCTTCTTTTTCACAGATAGCGGGTTTGGACCCTTTGCTTTCTTTTTAAATGTTCGAGTTGGTTCTGCGGCTACTCTTGTGTCTGGAGTGATTTTTTTTACAATTTCCTCTTCAAACTTGCGAGGGAGTGTTTTCTGAACTTCAATCTGATGAAGACGCGAAATCAGTAATAGAAACACTCGAAGATAGAAAGCCAAACCTCTTTCATCTTGGCTAAGGTTGATTTGGACGGAGGTTCGAGTAGCATGACCGAATTGTTCACATACACAAGTGGCACGCCCGGAATCTTGCGCAACTCTATTCGAAGCGCAAGCTCTTGAGTGGCAACGACGAATCGAAATCGGTTGTCCTCAGCGATGACGGACTTCAGACAATTCGATGCGCCGACGGGCTTCTCGTGGCCGCAGCGGCGGCGCTCAATGTCTTTTGCTGACGTTACGGCGGGAGCGAAGTCGGGGCCGAGGGCGCGGAGCTCTGAAAGGACGCAGGTTGTGGTGACTGACGAGTGTTCAGTTATCGTGGAGCCAGAGCTGGATCTTACACAGGTGCACGGGCGCCTGCAAGATCTTCGCAAGGAGAGCAGGTACGTTAAGCTTCATGCGTGCGGTGACGTGCAGGAAGTTGCCGTCAACTTGTAAGATCAACAGTGAACATCCAGGTTAGGATCAAACCGACTCACGCAAGATTTGGAAAGGGGAGCGGAAGCCAAACTCGAGCGCATACAGTGCCATAGCCTTCTTGTTGGCCTTGGCTCGTTTGACACGCATGATTTAGTTTTAAAAGTGAACAATCCTTTTTTAATAAAGGCGCATCATCTCAACGTACTGCAGACACATCACATCGATATCCCTGTGATACGAGTGAAGCGAGAAATGTTAAGCTTTCTACTTGCAGTATAGTATTTCGTTGGAGCCTCTGTTGGAATCTAACAAACCTCTAGAAACCAACAGTTCTGCAACCGCACATGGGAATAAACAAGCTTGACATCCCCCTTTCCATTCGTCAATCATGAGAACATCTCTTGTGGCTCACCTAACACGGATTGAATCATGAAGCACTTTAGAAGGTATCAACAGATACGGAGAATTGTAAGGGCAGATGGCCGAGTGGTCTAAGGCGCCAGGTTTAGGCCCTGGTCTCGCAAGAGGCGTGGGTTCGATCCCCACTCTGCTCATTGTTATTACTTTTTCGAAAATTATTAAGTTTTTACGAAAAAGTATATGCATAGAGTGGGGTTCGAACCCACGCGACTTTCGTCATCGGATCTTAAGGCCGACGCCTTAACCACTCGGCCATCT